TTTTTTTTTTTTTTTTGAAAGCAATCTTGTCCCCCTCCAGTGTTAGTGGTGCTGATAAGAGAAGACACCACTAGCACCTGGGGAGAGGCTCCATCTATTGGTGGGGAGCAACACCTGCTGGAAAACGGGTCCAGCGTCCCATGTACCAATTGAATTTAGAGAGTATTATCGATAAGAAGATTGAGGCCGGGGTCCTCACAGTCTACCCGGAGTGACCAAACCGAACATGCTGAGAACCGGTCTCAGCGTCCCTCATATGATGATGATGATGATGATGATGAACATTTGTTGATTCATTTGAGATAATAATACCAATGATGATGACGATAATGATGATGGTGATGATGATGATTAGTATGTAAAAAATATAGAAGACTATGCTATATCAGCAATTCTGGCCTCCGAATCCAGGAACAACTCCTAGCCCTCCCTGTACCACGACATTACATTTTTTTTTCTTTTTTTTTTCTTTTTTTTTTTTTCTTTTTTTTTCCACTCACGAGACTCCCATCCCACCATTCCTCTTGATATATATCTCCTGGCGCACCCCCACTCCATTTCTATCTTACCTCATGCGAGGAACATTACTCTCTACTGGAGCAACCTGACCTTAGAGACAATGCCATCCTAACCAACGTCAAACATAGCTGACCTGTTCTCGCCACCTAGACTATCCCTGGACCCATAGGTTGTCTAGGCAGACCCCCCCAGTTCGCCACTGGATTGCCTTCCTCCCACATGAAATCCCCAGATCTCTCTACAAGGCCTCACACTCCTGCCATTTACAGGTTACAGGGCAATGCCCCAGCTCCGGACAGCGTCGTTCTGGCATCGGCATACCAGGGGCACAGAACAAAGCAACTCTGCAGATATCAGTAGATTCATATACAGGCAAATTCTGTGCATGCCCAATTTCGCCTGCCCGGTTCCTGGGTACAAGCATAATTTTGTGCTCCCCAACAAAGGGCCTGTGGGACTGGGTACGCGTATAAGTTGGCACACAGGAAAAGTAGGGTATTAGCTTAAGTTGGACAGGGTCTGGGTATAGATGCAAGTCAGGCGCTCATCTGGGTATAGCGGGTATTCCCATCTTTAAGTGGGGTACATATGCAATTTTCCCTTCTTTTTTTCTTTTGACATTTGCTGAGGTGTATCAATGAGGTTGGTATATGCATCCCCTAGTACCAACCCCCCGGCAAGATGGCTCCTTTCTATTGCTGGGGAGCTTCACCTGCTGGAAACCAGGTCGAGCATCCCATTGTCGTATTCAGAATTGAAAGAGTAAGCACCAGTTTGTGTGGATATCCTGTCATAACTATTTTGTCCTCCCGATCGTGGTTTGGAGCCTCTGTAGAAGGATCTGCTGCTGCCTCTTTAGTCTATTTCTTGGCCGCGATGGTGGAAGTATCATCTTTGGCGCAACCCCCCTCGGCCTCGTTACCGCCTGGCCCTTTCCATGCCTCTGTAGCTTGATTATTGCATTTGATTCCGGAAGAATGTATCTGGAAATTCCGATGGTGGTGGCAGTGTCCATGCGTGAAAAAAACAGGACGTAGTCTCTCTTGATCGGTTGCTGGTCTGATTACTCTTCTCCTTTCCTCTCTACCTCTGCAATCTACCCTCCCTTTTCCTCGCACCGCCAGTCCTTTGCAAATTTCTGGATTTCTTTCCAAAATATCTGCATGTTCTCGGTGCAGATACAGTTCTTCCTTCGCTGTGGCCCATCCAGCCTGTAGTTCAGTTTGTATCTGTTGTCTGATTATCTCTGTCATTTCCTCCCCGTCCATCCTCACTCTTTCCATTTGGCGTGTGCATCTTCTTGTACACAGTGCCCATAATAGTGCCTTTCTCCCCACACTAAACTTTTTTTCTTTTTTTTTTGAAATAACTACGCCCAGGTGCGGTGAGGAGTTCTGAATTCACAGGAATAACAGTACACTGCAAGTTCGAGCCAAGAACAGTTCGAACCTGCAAAACAAAGCAGGTACCTTCGCAGTTCTACCCGGTTGGAAGCTTGTAATTCGCAAAATCAGGCGGCCACTTGCTGTTGCCCTTCTTTTTTTTCTTTTTTCTTTTTTGCACACCCGTGGCTGGGCCATGTCGGAGATGCTTTTCTTTTTTTTTTCCCCACGCCCACAGCCGTGATGTCTAGGCCACGCCCGTGGCTGGGCCACGGCCAAGATGTCTAGGCTACGCCCATGGGAAAATGACCAGTACCGGTACCGGTACCTCCCATTTTTGCGAATTGTTAAACTGGCAGGCCGTTGAAGGCATCATTTACTGTTTTTTAACTTTTTTTCGCAGTTTCGAACTGCTCTCGGCCCGAACTTGCAGTGTACTCAGTGTACTGTTATTTCTGCGAACTGGAACTCTGCACCGGTCACAGGCGCAGTTGTCTCTTTTCTTCTTGAGCCCTATTCGTGCCGATTTTCACGTGCTGGTAACCGGGCCGAGCGTCCCTTATGACCATTGAACAATTGGAAAAATCAAATAGTTACCAGGGTCATTACCGGGCTTCGGCTCAGAAATTGTGAGGAATTCTGAGGAATTTGAACAAACATATTTATTGCGAAGTTGTTGTCTTTTGGGGGGGCAGCTGCCCCACAGATGGGGACCCGCCAATCCTAGGGCCAGTCTGTGTTGTCCCGAGTTATCTCCTAATTCTGTCCCACCATCTCCATGCGAGCACCGCCCCTGGACACTGCAGGAAAATGTGTTTTATTGTTTCTCTGATTCTGCATGAGGGGAATCCTTTGTGACAGTACTTAGCACTGTGGAATCGCAAATCTTTTCTGTCCCAAAGGTGAATGATCTATCAGCCAGTCATTAGTGGCCGCCGGCCAGACGTCTGTGCTCAATTTGTCATTGTAGGGATGCCATCTTGGCGGGCTGAGTTTTTTTGTGGTCCCATGAACCACCTGATAGGATGAAGGGACTTGCAGCTTCCATTT